GGGGGGAGGGAGATCAAATTATTGACATACAATTTACATACAGTTAAATTTCGCCTTTTTGCACGTACAGTTAGATGAGTTTTGATAAATGTATATAGTATATGTATAACCACTACCACAGTCATGGTATAGAATATTTCCATCACTCAATGTTCTTTGAGGTCTGTCCTCTCCCCCACCCCCTGGCAACCACTGATAGGATTTCTGTCCCCATTGTTTCACCTTTCGAGAAAGTCATACAAATAGACTCATACGGTGTGTAGTCTATTGTGTCTGGCTTTTTTCTCTTAGCATAAGGCTTTTGAGATTCACCCATGCTGTTGCATGTATTAGTAATGTAGTCCTTTTTTATTGATGAGTAGTACTCCATTTTAATTTATTCACTAATTGATGGACATTTGCATTGTTTCCAGTTTTGGCTATTCTATATAAGACTTCTATGGATGTTCACATACAGGTCTTTGTGTGACCATATGCTCTCATTTCTTTTGGGTAAATACCTGGGATGGGATGGCTGGGTTATAAGTCTGTGCATGACTTTACAAGAAACTACCAGAGTATTTTATGAAGTGCCTGTTCCATTTTTCTTTTCCACAAGCAATGTATGCGAGCGCCAGTTGCTCCACATACTAACACTTTGCAATTTTAAAAATTGCAGTAGTTCTAGTGGGTATGCAGTGGTATCTCATTGTGGTTTTAGTTTGCATTTCTCTGCAACTAATGATCTTTGCTTATTTGAGAAGGTCATGGTTCAGCAGGCTCTGGTATTCTCTAGGTATTAATAATTTTAGAAGATTAGTGGCACTTGAAGTGAAATTTTTTTAAAAAAAATTGGCCAAAGATTTGAACAGTGGCTTCCTCAAGGTCGTGCTGTACAAAAAAGGTTAGAGTATGGAACTATGTTGAATTTTGGCAAAGCGTGATCCACCTGGGTGACTGATGCAAAGACCTAGAGAGGGAGCGCCTAGGACTTGGCATGAAGGTGGGGAGAAAGCAGATTTCATGGTTCCTCTGGCCTTGGGAGGGCCTTAGCTAAACCTGTTAGTGGGAAGCCTAGCTAGATTGAGTTACACTTTCCCAGATGTCCCAGGAGTCACCTGGGAAGCTCAGCAGTCCTTGTGGCCGTCACAAGTGTGTGGTGAACATAGAGCCCCCTCCCTGGGGACAATTTGCCTGAATCAGTTTATCAAGCTTGAGAAACCGGTTATCACGGGCCCAGGAATGCCACCACCCTTCCATCCTGAATCCCTATTTCTCATGCCCATCTTGTAGCTAATTAATTGAGCAAATATTCCCTGAGGGCTTACTCTATGCCTGATACTGTCTTGCATGCTGGGGAAAACTGCTATGAAGAAAGAGGTCCTGTGGACTCAGAAAGTGGCAGAAACGATGCAAGCGAAAACAGAGGCTGCCCTGGGTGCACCTAGGAGGGGCTCCTAACCGAGTGTGGTCAGGACAGGATCCTAAAGTTGAGGAGCTGGCCAGGCTGACAGTGCTAGGAGCAGCAGCTTCAGGACCGGGAGCGCACAGGAGTCCTCGTGGTAGGAGAGAGGGCCGTCCATTTGGTGCCGTGGGTAGTTTTGCGGGACCTGGTTTAGGAGGTGGGGAGTGGTGAGAGAGGAGGCTGGAGTCATCGGGGAGACCAGCTAAACCAAGGTGAGGACTGGACTTTATCCTCAGGGCAGTGGGGTGCTGGCAGAGGTTTTAAGTGGGCGAGTGGCATACCTGGAACTTGGGTTTAGTGGAATAACTTTGGTTGCTCTGTGATAAACGGATGGAGGGGGCAAGACCGGAGGCAGGGAACCCAGGGAAGTGGCTGTTTTGGTCACGCGGGAGCCAGAAGAGGGTGCCCTATTAACTGGCCGTGATTGTGAAGTAGGACCCTTTCCAGCCAGTAACTGGAAATGTGCATAAGGGCAGAAGCGAGTGTGCTACTAGCTTTGAAACATTGAGAAATCTAGTACATAGTACGGCCTTCTTTTTGGTTTTGGTTTGTTTGTTTGCTTCCTTGGAAAACTGATGTAGAAATGTCCCTTGGGATTCAGTTACCTGAGCAGAGGAGTTCAGGCATTGCCAAACCCTCCTCTTTGGGCAAAATCGCTCCCAGCAGTGGTCACCATGTCCTGAGGTGGGAGGAGGGGATTATGCGGGAGGCCGAGGGCTGTGTCAAGGTGGGCAGGGGAAGTGGGGCAAGAAGCCTGCCTGTTAGTACCCAGTGAAGCCAGAGCAGGACCTTCTACTGCTGCTCCAGGCTACTTCTCGCTGACTTCTCTGCGTGTCTCCTGGAGGGTCTCTGAGGCCGGAATCCATGTCTGGAGACCCAGAAACTCTGCTTTAGGAAAATATTCTCCAAAAAACCTCCTCCTGGCCGTTCTCTTCTTGTGAACATTCTATAGAGGCGTGTCTTCTTTTCCTCTGAGATTCTCCACTCAGATTGAGGGGATTCTGTGTCCTGGTTTGGGCCTGGGGGTCTCTAATACTAGGCCATTCTGATTTCATCCTTCCTACTTTGCCGGAAACCCACATTGGACTTGCTAGAAATAATGGAGTAGAAAAGATTGTTTAGACAGGATATAACCATTTCTCTGTTAGAGGGTACTGATAGACCAGAGAAAGAAAAGTGGGGAGAAGGGAACTCATTTCTTTGGCACTTACAGTGTGCCATGTACTTTGTTGGGGACTTACTTATATTGTCTCATTGAATCCATTGAATAGCATGCAAGGTAGGTGTTGTCTCCCCCATTCTATAATGAGGAAATTGATGCTCAGAGAGCGTAAAGATTTGGCCAAGGGCACATAGTTGGGAAGCTGGACCTAATTCCTGTCTAGGCTCTCTTTCTGCTAAGTTAATTTTCCTTTTTTAATTACAAACTTGTGTTTCAACCTCCTCATTGTTACCTTGGGGATCTGAAAAGATTCTTGTAGCTTCTAAATTAACTAAGTGATTCCTGGAGAGCAGCTTTTGCATGAGAAAAATCTAGCTAATTATTTATTTCTGTGTTTCTGGAATGCAAGCCCTGTCCTAGGCCACTTTCAAAATAATTTGGGATTGCAAGCACGCAGCTCACAATCGAATTCTGGCTCTCAGCGCTTGGAGGCCAGTTGCCATCTTTAAACAACAAATTGTGGATGGACACAGTGCTGATTTAACTCTTCTTTTTGGAGTGAGAATTTTTTTCGGGGGGGGTGGCATCTGTGTCCATTTAGAGTTTTGCTGAGCAAACAATAAAGAAAAGAAATAGGGGGACTTCTCTGGTGGCACAGTGGTTAAGACTCCGCGCTCCCAATGCAGGGGGCCCAGGTTTAATCCCTGGTCAGGGAACTAGATCCCACAGGCATGCCACAACTAAGAGTTCATATGCCACAACTAGGGAGCTGGTGAGTTGCGAGTAAGGAGCCTCCAAGCCGCAATGAAGGAGCCCGCCTGCTGCAACTAAGGAGCCCATGTGCCAAAACTAAGGAGCCCACCTGCTGCAACTAAGACCCAGTGCAACCGAATAAATAAATACATCAATAAATAAAAAGAAAAAAGAAGTAGGTCCTAAGACTTGACTATTTCAGAGGAATCCCTGATTCGTTGGCTTGTCAATGAATGAATTAAAATACATAATAGTAGAGTCAGTCCTTCTTCTCAGACACTGCAGACTCCTTCCATTCTCTCTTCTTTTGTAGAAGTTTTTAATCCAGGTCCTTGTGGGGTGGGGACCAAGACAGTAAAATCCTGCTATAGATCACCCTTTGCATTGAGGTCTGTTTGGACCCGCAGACGTCTAGTGCAATACTTGGTTTTGTATGCACAAGTGGTCACTACATTCTTAGCTGTTTTTGCTGTTTGTTCCTCAGGCCTAATATCCCACCTCTACTCCACCAGAGGCCACAATGATTAAATGAGCCATTTTAGAGGTAAAGCCGGTTTCTGATTTCTGCTAAGGGTTCATGACTGTGAAGTGGCATCAGGGCCTAACTTTGACCTGTGCGTCCCTCCCTTCTTCCAGTTTTCATTTTTCACCCTTTCCCCAACTTTAATTTTAGTGTGACTACCTGGGATTATTCCAGTATTAAATGAATACCATTGTTGAGGGGGCAGCAGGGACACACAGAAGGTTGTATCCCCTGTTTATGAGAACCCCCCCACCCCGGGATGGCAAAACAGTCCTCCAAGGAGGCACTTGTGACAACTGACAAGGAGTAGGCGGGCCCTGTGTACAGGTGCAGGTGTAGCAAGGCCAGAAGTGTGCATATGTCCAGACAATGGGAGCTTGTCAGTTTCACAGGTGATGCTCTCCATCTGCTTTGGCTGCCTTGTTTTTCTCAATGAGATATTGTTTTCTTTCCGCACACACACAGCACTGGCGTGGTCCTCATCACCTGGGAGCCAGGTGTCCGTGGCATTTCCTTGGTGTTTACTCACACCATCTAAGACATCATCACATCTAAGACACGCTGTGACTTTTTCCAGATTAGGAAACTGCTTTATCGATGGTGCCATTTATCACCAGAAGGACTCAACTTTGGAACTAGATGAAAACGTAGTTTGCAGCAAATTTCAGGGAATAGCATAAGTCACTCCAGGTTCAAGGCAAAATTTATAAATGCTGCTGACATTTTCTGAGAGGGGAGGCATTTTCTTAGAGAAGGGAGGCAGGTCTCTGGGATTCCAATATGCCCTTTGCAATCTCAGGGCTTTGGCCACCTAAGGTTGCTCACGTAGGTCTGCCTTCACAAGTGCATTTTTCATTCCCAAATGATCACACCCGTGGAGCTCAATTGATTGGGATAATAATGGCTCACTCCCAGGCTACTGCCAGAAAGCCTGCAGAATCCCTGTTTACCAGAGACCCCAAGGCTAGAAGTTGGGGACTCATGCCTTATGCAGAAGTAGTCGTGAGGCAGAGCTGGGTTTGAGGGCTCAGGTGAGAGGGCTGGTGCAACAGCCCTCACTGGCGTATAGCTTTGCAGCAAAAACTGACGGCGCTCTCCCCTCTTGCTTTATCTTTCAGTTAATGACCAGCCACAGCGTCCCCACTGTGAGCTCCGGCCACTTCCTCCACGGGCTCCCGAGCCTCACGCAGGCTCTGTGGTGTCGGCTGAGGTAACATGGCTTGTTGGCCTCAGCTGAGGTTGCTGCTGTGGAAGAACCTCACTTTCAGAAGAAGACAAACAGTAAGCCTGGGTTTCTCTGGGGGTCCTCCCATGCTTTTCTTCCTGATTTTGAGTTGGGAGGGGAAGAGGGGGGAAAGGGAGTCTTCTTCGTTTTCTCAAAGTGATTGAATGAATCTGGCCCCGGTGGACACGGGACTGTGTGTAGGGTCCTGATCGAGCCCCGTCGCTTATCATAGGGGGCAGATTGGCAACCAGGCAGAAATGATAGCTTTGCTTTGTGCTAGTACCCAGGCCTGAGTTCTGACCTCCGAAATCTGGCACAGAATTGCCCCTTTGCCATCTTCCTCTTAACTTTTGCTGCAGCCCTGGGGGCCACCTGGCTCTCCAAGAGCATCTAATGGTTTCTGGGCAGTGGAAATGAAGTGAGTTCGTGGCCCAGCTCTTAGAGCTCAGAGGCTGGATCTGTTAGTGTCAGTGTGGACTCTATCCTGTCAGCTTTGACTGCAAGCCTGGAGGAATATAAAACTGAGATTTGTTTTATGTCTGTGGAGGGCTCTAAGCCATTCACTTCTGGATGGGACGGTGATCCTTTCAGTAATCCCGAGAAGGCCATCTTTAACTCTCAGGTGAATGGTGTTTTTCCGTGAGAAGATAAAGGCTATAAGGCCCGGTGATCTCTCTGAAGTTCCGACATCAGCTCTTGGCTTCTCCCTCTCTGAACACTCCTAGAGATCCCGTCCAGTCTCCTGGGTTTAGCTGCACCTCTCTGTAGTAGGCTTCTAAATGTCTGTTTCCTTCCCTGCCTTTTTTCCTGAATTCTAAACCTACATCCCCATTTGGCTGTCCTCATGAAGCTTAACACATCTGCAGCCGAAATGCTCATCTTTCTTAGACTCAAAGAGCTATGAGGGATCTTGGATATAACTTAATTCAGTGTTTCTGAAACTAGACTAATGCTTGGCCGGCCCTTCTTTAAAAGAACAAAAATGTCAAGGTCCTCCTCTGTTCACTAAATTTATTTTTTTATTATAATGTTACTTAAATATGAACGTATGTGAAACTAGATATAGACCCCTTATTCTTACAGGCCATATGACCCATACAAACTTAAAAATTAAATGCAAACAAAATTGCAAAACCAGTACTGTTAATGTAGTAAGGCAGCTGACACTGTTTAGCTGAAGCCGTATTATAGGTAACAATGTGACTATGGTAGTGAATGCTTATTTGTTTGAGTTTGGACAGTCTATATTACTATGTGCTAATGATTCAATTTTCCAATCATTTTTTCCAGTGACCTTCATTTGATATCATTTGGCTTTCATTTGGTCCAATCTCATCATTCACAAGTTGCGTTTGCATCAGTGCCTTTCTTATTGGTCTGCTACAATTATATTGGTGCTAACACAGTCACAAACACAAATATAAACTTAGGCTTGAAATCTTGTGCCAGAACTTGGTTATAAAGTAGGCATTCAGAAAAATCCAGATATGTTTATTCACATTTGCTTAGATGAACATTGAAATGAAAACACAAAATTTTAAAATCCTGACATAGAACTCATATATAATCCCTCATGGATATGTGTGTATATGTGTGACTCTAGAGTCGGTTCTCTAAACCACTATGTCAGATTGCTCTTCAATGGTATTATTAGTTTTTCTATCTTCAGTCTTGAAGTTTCTAACCTCTTTCTTGCCTTTGCCCCTGCCTCCCATGGCTCTGCCCAGGTCCTGGTGTTCCAAAGATCTATACGTTCACCTCCTAATCTGATTTCTTAGCTACTGGGTGGTCCAGGTCCCCTGCCTCTTCTCATCATGGTGGCAGCAGCCCACGTGATGGGCAACTGTCTCTGCTGTGCTGTGTCCATTAGCCGGTGAGTAGGGGAAAGAACTATATCATCTTACTGATGCAAGGTCTCAAGGGCAGTCCAACCCAAACCTGTCATTTTACAGATAAGAACACTGAGGCACAAAGCAGGGAAGGGATTTCCTCAAGGTCAACCAAGAATCAGGAGCACAGTGTCCTGGAACAGGATTTGGGATTGGGCCATCCAGGCGGGGCCAGTCTCTACTAGTCTTGCTGCTTCTTGCTCAATATTGCTTATCAGTTTAAAAAGCATTACGAGTAGAGAGATAGGCGGGCTTCGTCAAAGGCAATTTTTGGCCTTGCGGCAGAGTTCTTGTTGAAAGAGTAAGAAGGAGACAGTATCCTGACACAAAAGGGCTTTTCTAGGTGTTAAACCTACTGCCTGTTAGCTTGTCCTCCCTTCCTGATTTCGACAGGAAATCTATTTTGCCAAACCAGAAACAAAGGGTGGTTTATTTCAGGTTGCACATGCTTAGGTTGTCACAGCTGGAAAGATCTGACCTGCTTCTTGTACAGCTGATGGGATTGGGGTTTGGGGTAGGGGACAGGGGTCCAGAGTGGGTGGGTCATGGAAGTAGCACCAGAACCAATTTCCTGGTGGCCCTACAGGCACAGGCCCTTTTTTTTTAGCAGGCTTTGACTTATCTGCATGAAAGATTTAATGCCCATGGATCTCAAGTGCTGGCTGTAGCTACTTCCCAATCCACCTGGCTTGGATCTCTAGATATATTGTTCTATAGACAGTGGAACCTGTTTAGGGTTTTGGTACCACTTTGTTAGCTCACATAGTTAGAACAAGCTCTGCCCAGTAGGCAGGGGAAGAAGTTAGCAGCTCCAAATAGTTCTTGCCCACAGTGTATGGAAAACCATTGCTTGATTTCCTCCTTCTGAGATCCTGGATGTATACACTTGGCCCCAGAGCCTGGCACCGGGGATATGCTTAATAAGTATTTGCTGAACAGTGGGTAAATGCATTAAATGGGCCATTAGTTTACAGGTCTCAAAGAGGCTTCCCTGCTATAGGGGCCTTGTGTGCAGGGAGATGGGAAGAAAGATGTAAAAGCTGGGTGCTGAACAGTAAACCCCGAGCAACCTTCCTGAAAGACGGCCGTTTGCCCTTTCACTCTGTATCCTTGTTTGCTAATGAATCCTGGGGACCTCTCTCTTGTGCTCCCATTATGCAGACTTATGGGGACCATCAGCCAGGGGTAGATTTCCGCTGTTCCTGTTGGGCAAAGAATACATTGAAATTGAGTTGCATAAGTTGGGTGCAAAGCTCAGTTTGGGTCCAAAGTAACGGTTAACTTGTGTGGGTGGCAGTCACTGAGCACAAACAGGGCTTGGGACAGGAAGGGCGAGGGGCTTCAGAGTTCTCAGGGTCCTCATCTGGTTTTAGGCCGAGCCAGAGGCCAAGGTCCCCATGGAACAGATGGGACAGATTACGGCCATATGGCCTCTCCTTTTTGCCTTTGCCATTAATTTTCTCATTTAGATCTGTTTAGCTGTGTGTCTGGGAAAATAGATAATTCTAATTTCTGCATATATCAATATTAAGAGTATCAATATTTGGGGATTGTTTAATGACAAGGAATAAGCTATCAAATAAATAAAAATTAAGACTCCTCATTTAAGAGCCGCTAGAGAATTTTATAGCATAGACACAAACTTTCTGCACCTCCTCCCGGCTTCCAATTTCACCTAATACATTTCTTTCCTGTCCTTAGTCCTGGCTTGGCATTGCTGGTTCAAATCCAGATAAGAATTCTAATTATTATCTAATTCTAATTCAATTCTAATTCCAGCTTGGCCACTATATGTCTCAATGGCTCAGGGAAACTCATTTTTCCTGAGTTTTAGTTTCCACTTCTTTGGAATGAGGAAAGTTAGAACAAATAGCCATTTATTGTTTCCTTTGGATAGATATTTATTGAACATCTACTGCACGTAACATAGTGTGCTGGGTATACAGGCAGGACCCCTGCCCTCATAGAGCTTACAGTTCAGTGAGGGAAGCAGATATGAAGCACATTATCACATAAGTAGAAATCTCATAACAAACTGTGATAAGTGCTATGAAGGAAAAAAACCAAACTGTCCTACTGTGTTAGGTACTACCAGGCTGAGGATAGGGAGTTAATTTAGAATAGAAGGTCATGACATTTAAGCTGAGAGCCTTGAAGTTCGAGCAGCAGTTAGCCAGGGGAAAATCGGGAGCTCAGCCGTCAGGCCACTGGATTCCAGGCAGAGAGACAGAGGGTGTGAAGGCCACGGGCCTAACGTACATCCTGGAGTCAAAGAACAGGAAAGCCAGTGGCACTGAAGGAAGACTGGCTGGGGGTGAGTTGGGAGTCAGCAGGGGCAGATCATGCAGCCATGGAGCTGAGCAAGGGCAGCTGAATTTTATGTTACGTGCAGAAGGAGTCCCTGAGGTAGATAGCTCATGATGACGAGGGTCAGATGGTGTGGTCCTTGGCACTGAGGGGACTTGAAGGACGATAGCCCAAGGAGACAATTATAATCATTACATACATACATACATACATACATACATACCATTTTGTGCTCTGTTTTCCTCTTTCACTTAACATCATTTGGCATATATGTTTCCAAATAATTTACATATTTATAATAATGATTCTTGATGTGTAGGCTGTGTTTTGTACTTTTGAAAGTTCTTTTGTATCTGTTATCTTCTTGATTTTCACAGCAATTCTGAGAGGTATGCATTACAATTTCTGTTGCACAGGTGAAGAAAGTGTTATAAGTTAGTAAATTAGTAAGAGGAGGGGCTGGATCTTTTGGGCCCAAATCTGCCATGGGATAATGCCACTGACATTCCTGGTAGCGTTACAGTAATCCATCAATGCAGTTTTTATTTTGTAACTTCATACCCTATTGCCAACATTCAGATGTTTCCCGTGTTTGCTGTTATACATAAGCTACTATAAAGACTTTATACATATAGCCTTTTCTTATTTTTATATTATTTCCTTAGGCCAAAATCTCAGAAGTACGATTCCTAGGTCCAAGGAAATGGCCCTCGACATATATGATCAGATGTCCTTCCGAAGGATCAAACCAATTTAAAAATCCACCATCACCACATGAGGCTTTACAGTTCTGGGAGGGCAGGCGTGGTTTTCAGATTTCTTTTTCCCTCCAGCATTTCTCTGATTTGATCTTTAAGATT